GCTCTGGGGGACACACCTGGAGCAAGTCCTTCCTGCAGTCATTCCTCCCAGGACCCAGCCCTGCCCACACCTCGGTCTCAGCTTCTGGCCTCCAGGACTGAGAGGATGAGTGCTGTCCAAGCCCCACCCCTCCCCCATGGGTGGTCCTTTGTCATAGTGACCTGCCTCACTTACACATTGGTAGAGTCTCTCCAGAGACCAACTCTTCACCAACATGGTGTGACAGGTGGGCCCCCGGTTCTCTGGAGGTGAAGGAGAGCCTGGTGTCTGCAGCCCCAGCCTCCTGGGGGCTCCCAACAGCCCGGCTCTTGTGATTGGCTGATCCTGCACCTGGCTCTTTCTGTTCATCTGTCTTCACTTGAACTGCAGTAAAACCAGGAGAGGCTCACCCCTCCATTTGCTCAGCAGAACCCCGATCCTTTCCTGAAGCTCTGACAGAGCCGAGTCTATCGTGTCAGCCTCCCGGGAATCCTGAGGCTGTAACCCTGACACCAGCACCAGCCTATGCCCAGGCAGCCTTCTGGGTCAGGCGTGGAGTCAGCTTTGGGTCAGGTTGCAGGGCAACAGCATGAAACTCCCCAGGGTGGACAGTACCCAAGGCTGGGGGCAGCCATGGGCAAGGCTGTGTTTGAAGTTCCATTTGGTAACATGGGCTCCCCTGGGGACTGTGGCTGGTCCCCAGCAAGGGGAGGTTGCTCTTAGAGCCAGCAGGAAGCAACTCTGCTCTGCAGCTCTGCCTGCTCCCATCCAGTGCCCTGAGCTGACAGCAGCCACGGCAGCCATAATAAAGCCAGCTTGACATTTAGGGCAAAGTTCCAGACATGCAAAGGTCGGCCACTTAATCAGGTTTAATCAACTCATAACCAACCCCACTGGTCTACCTGTGCAAGCCCAGGGAGCCCTCCTGTTGCAGAGGATGGAGACGCGCAGGCTCTTGCTCTTTGTCTTCTGTGGCCTGGCTGAGGGCCCAGCCCCCAGGGTTACTGTGCTCCAAGAACATCCGAAGCTCCTGTGTCCTGCTTCAAGCGATTGGAAGCCAGGTGCAGCGGGAGTGGAGGGCTCTGGGGGTGGGTGCTCTCTCTCAATCTGGGTGCAGGTGACACGGGCTCCCTTCATGCCACCCTGAGCTGCACCAGTGTGTCTGGCATATTCTGTCTGCATGTGACGCATCAGTAGAAGAGGCTGCCCCCTTCCCATATGCTCCCTCCTCCAAATGCCCTGGGAGGTCTGGGTCATGGTCTTGCCCTTCTGCTGGGCTCATGATCCCTTCCCACGTGTGGCTTGGCTGTGTGTTTTGTGTGGCAGCTGCACATGACACCTACCCCATGTTCCTGACTTAAATGACCTCCCTTGATTATATGCAGAACCTCCTCCCTGGTGAGCATTTGCCTTCTTAGCCTGTTGGTGGGGCCCATCCTGGGCTCACCCCTCCTCTGGAAGCCCATGCTATTATTGACCATGCACAAGCAGAGGGGCCCCTCCCCTGGTGACGGTGGCACATCACTTCTCCTCGTTTCAGGGACTGAAATGAGCCCTCCCAAATGCAGGGGTGGAAATCCTATCCCCTTTGTGATGGTACTAGGAGGGGGGATCTTCAGGGTGAGGGTCTCCTGGGCTCCAACCTCAGGGACAGGATCTGTGCCCCAATAAAACAGGACTTGGGAAGCTTGGTCCCCGCTTACCTGAGGAGACACCAGAGAACACCCTGGAGCCCCAGGCAGCCCTTGGCAGGTGGCAGATCTGCAGTGCAGCCCGTGGCTCAGGACCCCCTGCTCTAGTGCTGTGAGGAACAGAGGTTGTCCCCCCCCCCGCCCCCCGCCTGTGGCGTTTCTGTTCCAGCAGCCCTGGATGAACTGAGACAGAGCCCCTTCCTCCTGGTTTTAACGCAGCCTGGAGGAGCTGCTTGGGGCATCTTCTCGCCTGGCCCCTGCCCTGTAGTTAGAAGGCTGTGGGGAGACAGTGGGGCCTCAGGGTTTGGGGCACAAAGGGGAGGTGAGGAGCAAGAGCACTCTGGAGTCCCAGGCACAAAGGGACACTGCTCTCTGCAGCTCAGCAGCTCAGTGGGAGTGTGCAGGCTGAGGTGTGGGGAGAGCCCTGGGCAGCCTCTTTCAGTGACTCATATTGGGGAAAATAAAGGTGCACCTGGGAGGAAGGCCTGAGCTTTGGCCACCTACAGGTGCAGAAGTGGGGCCCAGCCACTCACCTGGCACCTTCTCCGTGCCTGGTTGTCCTGGGTCTGCTTGGTGGCACTCTCTCAGGGTCCTTTGGTTCCTGGAGCCTGGAGCTGGACCTGCACATCCAGGCTTTCGAAACCTGTCCTGGGAAATGTTTAGCAGGAGACTGATTGAGGCCCCTGGTGCCCATCCCTGCGCCCCTGCTTCGGGCCAAGAGCAAGGAGGCTGAGCTCCTGCCTGGTCTTGAAAACCTGGCCTTACACTGGGGCCTGGCTGGGGCCACAGAGGATGAACCGCAGTATGTGGATGGAGGATCCGGACCTCACGTCCTAGGCCAGGGCAGGTGGCCCGAGAAGAGCCCTGCGGCAGGGTCCTGACCCCGACAGACAGGGCCCACGGGTCGCCCCTGAGGCTGGAGAAGCCGGCAGAATACCCTCGCCAGACCAAGCAACCCCGACCGCAGGCGGCACCACCTCCCAGAGAGGGAGGTTGGAGATGTCAGCGGAGAGGACAGGAGGGGCAGGCAGAAGGTCAGGGTGGGAGTCGCCCAGAATCAGGGTGGGGATCCCGGGAAGCGTGGTGGGGCTGACCCTAAGCTGCTCGCGTGGATTTCCTTGTGCACCCGCGGCTCCCTCCCTTTGGTCTCCTGCTTCGCCAGGACCTGGCAGGACAGGTTAGCCCAGGAAGCCCCCAGGGCAGGCACCGGTGTGTGGGGCAGCTCTGGGGGTGCAGGCGACGGTGGAAGGTAGACTCAGGCAACTCCTGCCTGGCAGCCGCTGGTCTCCCAGAGACTCATCGGACCCAAAGGTGCACCCCTCTCCCACGCGTCCGAGGCTTCAGGACACGCAAGATCCAGGCGGTTCGATCTGCAGCCTAAGAGCGGTGGCAGCAGGCTCCGCGGGCTATCAGTGCCCTGGAGGGGCGGGGGCGCGGCCCTAGCTTGTCCCCCGCCCACCCGGGGCGGGCGGGTGAGGAGGCGGAGCCAGGGCGGGGGCCCCGACGGCGGGCGGGGCGAGGCGGACCCCCGCGACCAGATAAGAGCCCGAGGCTGCGACCGCCCAGTGCGGTGGCGCTGAGCTGGAGTTTCCGCGGACCTACCTGCTGGGACCTGAACGCAGCTGTAGCCCAGGGCCAGAGGCAGGTAAAGGCGGGTCGCTCCCTGCGCAGGCGGCCCCTAGCATCCTCCGGGCGGGCGCGCCGCTCACTCCACAGACCCTCGGGCTGGGCCGCCGGGAGCCCAGCAGGGCGAGCGTTGTCCGTCGGGGACTCCGCTACCCGGGGACAGAGCGGTCTCCGAAAGTGCCACCAGTCGCGGTGCAGAGCGCTGTCTGGCGGTGAAATGGGAGACCCTAAGGCCCTCCCAGCCAGAGGGGACTTCCGCCCCGCCCGCGGAGTGCGGACCGGTGGGCAGGCGCTGAGGTCGCCGGCTTCCCGGGACCCGCGGCTGTCTGAGGTTGCGGCTGGGGCGCCTGCTCCGCCTCGATGGACCTGACACCACCTGGGGTCGGCGGAACTGGCCACGCGAACCCACGTCCCATAGAGGTGGTGGCCTCAATCCTGAGGTGGTTCATCTCCCGCGGTTTTTTTCCATTTGTAAGATGGTGCCAGGACGCGGGTTGCGACTGGGAGCTCCAGGCCACTGTTGCAGGGAACCACAGTGGGGAGGGGGGCGAACAGAGCCTGTCATGGAGCTGCCTCCTGACCTGGGCAGCGGAAGGAAAGATGCTGTCTCAGAGGCCACATTTTGCCCTCTTGGCTCAAGTCTGGCCTCTGATATCCTCAGCACAGGAAGGGTCTGGATCCTTCCCGATGCGGAGCACCACTGGGTGAGCAGGAGAGCCCTGGTGCGCCCACCTGCAAGGAACTAAAGGGCCTGCCTTTGCGCTATTCGCACCTCCCACCCTCCCCAGCTGTTGGCCACTGCTGTGCTGCACCCCTGTGGCTCTTCTGAGAACATGGGATGGGTCTGTCCCTGCAGGGAAGAGGCCACAGAGAAGTGGTGCACACAGTAACGTCTGTCAGGCGTCTGCTTTTGGGTGCAGGGGAAAGTTACCCCACTAGAGCGGTCACCCTGCTGCCCAGGCTTACTCGGTGTCTGTGCACAGTGGGAACAATGCTGAGGTCTGCAGGCTGCTCAGCCCTCCTCCACTCTGCCCAGGGCTTTGCGGAAGTAATTGAGAGCCACTTCCCTGGTAAGGGGTTGTGTGGCAGCTGCCCCACCCTGGGTGAAGTCCTGCACAATCAATCCTCCATGCAGCTCAGGTAGGGCACAGGAAGCCTTGGGCAGATGGACATGGAGAAGCCCCTGGGCACAGGTGGATGTGGACTTTGAATAATACAGATGTTCTTTGAACAAGTGGTTGTAATTATTTTTTAAATTTTTAGTTTAGTGTGGCTGTTTATATACATTTTGCTCTTTGTTTTATTACCTGGTATAAAGAATGCATAGTGCTGTTACAAAGACCTTCTATTGGTGCTCTTTGAAGACTATGGGATGACTCCCTGGGAATGTGGAGAAGGGACAGAACATCTGTGCATGGTTATTAGAAAGCAAATCAAGCCTTGTGCTTGACAGGTGGGGGGTGGGGGAGGAGGCACATCAGCAAGTCTGTCTTGGGGTTTCCATGGCTGGTTCCCCCCGTGACCCCCAAAGAGATCTAGAGTCTCCACCTCTCCTGAGCACCATCATGTCATCCTAGGAGCTTGGAATGTGTTTGCTCCTTCCAAGGCAGCACAATTGTCTCAGGTGTCTGCTCTTGACGCACACTGTCAACCTGCTACCACACCGGTGTGTTTCTCTGTGTTTTTCATGTTGGCTGAAGACCAAGAGGAAAAAGCACAGAATCCCTAGGCTCCAGTCTTCCCATGAGTAAGAGCAAATGCTCCGTGGGACCCATGTCCCCCTTGGTGGCCCCGGCTAAGGAGCCCAATGCCATGGGCCCCAGGGACGTGGAACTCATCCTGGTCAAGGAGCAGAACGGGGTGCAGCTCACGAACTCCACGCTGATCAACCCACCACGGAGCCCTGAGGAGGCCCAGGAGCGGGAGACCTGGGGCAAGAAGATCGACTTTCTGCTCTCAGTCATCGGCTTTGCAGTGGACCTGGCCAATGTCTGGAGGTTCCCCTACCTATGCTACAAAAATGGTGGAGGTAAGTGCCATCTGGGGCCCGGTTCCTTCTGCCAGGTTGAGCCACAGGGCAGCAGGGAGCAGTGTTCTTAGGGAACACATGCTCACTGGCAAAATTATGCTCTCCTCCTGGTGGAGACAGGGCTGCTTCATACCAGAGCATGAAGTCATACAGGCTCTCCCAGGTGCAGGAGATGTAGTGGTGCAGGCTGTCCCAGGTGCAGGAGATGCAGCACTGCAAGCTGTTCGAGATGCAGGAGATGCAGTGGGTGCAGGCTCTCCAGGAGATACTGCGGGAGCAGGCTGTCCTGGGTGCAGGAGATGCAGTGCTGCAGGCTGTCCCTGGTGCAGGAGATGCAGTGGGTGCCCGCTGTCCCAGATGCAAGCGGTGCGGCATTGCAGGCTATCGTAGGCGCAGGAGATGCAGTGTTGCAGGCTCTCCTGGGCACAGGAGATGCATTGGGTGTAGGCTGTCCCAGGTGCAGGAGATGCAGCAGGTGCAGGCTGTCCCAGGCACAGGGGATGCAGTGGGTGCAGGCTGTCCTGGGTGCAGGCTGTCCCAGGTGCAGGAGATGCAGCGGGTGCAGGCTCTCCTGGGTGAAGAACACAGAGTCTGGTTCTGCTCTGCATCTTAACAGCTGAGAAAAATGAGGCCAGAAAAGAGGCAACCAGGAGGAAGTAGGTGGAGGCACCTTGGCCCTGTCCTCTGTTTCCAGTGGTTGTTTTCACTTTGGAAAAATTCTCCAAGGGCCAAAAAATGGCTTGATAGTGTTTAAAAGTATGTAGAACTTGAACTTGGAGGGGCAGATGATGCCCTGAAATGGGGCCTCCAGTGGCCCTGCCCTCACTTCTGGATCCGTCCAGCCGTAGACCCTTGCCTGCATGGCACTCAGCAGGCTGGGATGGGGCAGGTCACTGAAAAGTTCACTTGAGCAGCCAAGTCAAGGGGCGCTCCTCCCCACGCGTCCCCGTCGGGGGCCGTCCCCTGGCCTCCCTGCTTGGATCCTCCAGACATAGGAAGGGCAGGGCAAGACTTCTTGAGGAAGCCTCATGGCACGCCCATCTTGAAGACAGGAGACCAAGGCCTGAGCAGTAAGTGTCCCAAGACAGAGCTGAGGGGTCTCCACAGCTCTCCACAGCCCAGAAGGGAGCAAAGCCCTCCCTTACAGAGGTCAGCCTGGGGGGGAGTAAGAGGGACTTAGGAGGCCTGCACAGGGCCCAGGCCTTCGAGGGGGAGATAGAGGGCATAGGTGCAGGGAACCAGGCCCACCCGAGGGGTACCGGCCCCTGGGCAGCCCCTGGCAGCAAGGACCTCAGTGGTGGCCTGCGGTAGAGGCAGACTCCGAGTGCCAGGCCCTAGGGAGGGTCAGGGGGTGCTGGGGCCAGATCCTGAGAGGTAAATGGATCTGGGCCAGGGAGGGGCCAGGCCTGCAGTGGGAGCAATACCAAGAGTGGGCGGGGCTGTCCCGGCTCTGTCATAGGTTTGATGTCATCGTGTGAGTTGGGGGTGACCAGGGTTTCTGGAGGGACATATTGAGGCACTGGAAATAGTGGGCAACAGGTGTGGAGGCAGGCTGTCCACCATAGCTGAGACTCACCCCTCCAAGGGTCAGACATTTGTACCCAGAAAGGCCACTGGGTACAAAGGGCCACGCTCAGTCTGGGACAGTAAGAGCTCAGAGGAAGCCAAGCAGCCCCTTCCACACCGCAGCCAGGGCGTGTGTCCACAGGTGCCTTCCTGGTGCCCTACCTGCTCTTCATGGTCATTGCTGGGATGCCGCTCTTCTACATGGAGCTAGCCCTTGGGCAGTTCAACAGGGAAGGGGCTGCCGGCGTCTGGAAGATCTGCCCCATCCTGAAAGGTAATGTGCAGAGACATGTCCTTTTGCCCTGACACAGTGAAGCAGCCCGCCGCAGAGGCTTGAGGCTTTCAGAGCAGGCTGCCCAGTGTGCATGTGCGGTCCTGCCTTGCTGAGGCCCGTAGGCAGTTCACCCACCTTCTAAGCTGGTCCTGCGCTGAAGTCCCGCCAGGACCGAGGATTGGCGGTCCCAGGGGAGGCTCCTGCAGTTCTTCAGCAGGGTTATCTTGTCAGGGTGCTGCAATGGTCGTCATATAGAACACCCACCTGCCAATCTGCCACCTCTCATCCATCCATGAGCCATCTGTCTATCATCTCCTATCATCTTCATCTGGTCACTGTCTGTGATTCCTCAGCTATCTTGACCTATGTAAATCATCTTTCTTGCTAGCTGTCATCTATCTATTGGTATCTATCTGTTTATCCTCAGTCTGGTTTTTCTCTAATCCTTCAAGGCTGCTGATGTGAGGGCACAGCACCATGAGGCACACACCCCGTGTTGACCCCAGGTGGCCCAGCAGCTCACTCGTCCCCAGGAGATCCCTGGAGGGACGCCATGCTGTCTCTCTCTGTGCTGGAGATACACTCTGAGGGTCAGGGGGCTTGAATAATTTGCCCAGGATGAGCAGAGCAGGACTCCATCCCAGACCTGTCCAGCCCCCCCAGCCAGGCCCCAGGGTTACACAGTCCCTGCTCCAGGTCTCCCTCCTGGCACGTGGGTTCTAGGTGGCTTTGAGGGCACTTCCTCAAGGAGACACAGGAGAGGTGCCCCTCAGACAGCCGGCATTCACTAAGAAAACGACCCTTGAAGGGCCAGAGTTTGGATTTTCTCAGAAGGTCTTGAAGACCTGGTGCGTGTGGAAGAGAGCAGAAGTCTCCAGGAATGTGCCGTCAGTGCCCAGGCATCCATATCCAGGACCAGCGGATACTGCTGTCCTAGGGCAGGTCTGCCCGGAGGACAGGATTGCCCTCTTGGCAGCAGAAACGCTGAGACAGCCAGGCACGCCGGCTCTTCCGGGCAGTAGGCTGCCTTCCTTCCTAACACCCCAGTGGTCAGGGATTTTCTCCTGGGCTAAGTGATTCTCTGGACCATGCCACAAGGAAGCTACGTAGAGAGTCTTCCCTCCCCACCATCGCCTATGATAGCCCACGAGTGAGGTAGACACTCGGGGGCGCAAGGCGGTGCTGGGCATTCCCTGGGATCCGAATGCGGGAGTCGAAGCTCCAGAGCTGCCAGCGGTGCGTCTGCACCCTCCTCCCCTGTTGGAGCAGTGTGGCCGGTGACTGAAGGTGCTGGACTCTAGAAACGCATGCTCTGGGCATCGACGTGCTGCCCGGGAACTGCACAGCACCGTTTCTCCAGGTCAGCTGACTAACAGGACCTGGTGCACAGGAAGTGATGGTGACCTCCCAGGCTCTGCCCAGCAGTGCCAAGGACATTGCACCCAAGGCTGTGGTGGTGGCCTGATGGGCTTGAGCTGAGATTTACATTCAGGTGGCATCTGAGAGCTTAGAGCCCAAGAGTGCTGACTCAGCAGTGGAGCTGCTCACCTCAAGTGGGGGAGGTGCCAGGACCGTGTGCTGCCGCCACGCCAAATGGTGCTTTGTGGACTTTGAGCGCTCACCCCTGCATGTCTGGAGTACGTCCCAAGTTCCTACTTGACATGGCCAGTGCCCCACTCCCTGCAAGGAGCTGAGTGTCCACTCAAACTAAAATCAGCTCTCTATAGGCAGGGACTGGCAGAGGGACGGCAGGGAGGAGGCCATTCTCCCTGAGGCTGGGTTGGCAGAGGAAATATGTTTTCTATCTGAACGTCACACCACAAGAATATTCTCCAACAAAACTGCCAGAGTGGATTTTTATTTTGAAGTCTATAAAATAAGCATTTTCCAAGAACTTCAGAGCACTTGGTGACCCTGATGACTTGTCTTGGGTTGCTAGAGGACATCTGACTTCAGCAGGCATGGCTGTCCACACCCTGTCTTGGGAAACAGAGATCACAGATGCGGGTCCCCAGCAGGTGTGAGAACCCGGAGGGAGGGAGACCGTGGCAGGGCAGTAATCGACTCCATCCCAGTTGCCCCCAAGGGCCATGCTGGGGCCAAGGGCGCCCAGGAAGAAGCGCATGCGCCCTCGGAGTGGCAGCTCAGCAGAGCCTCTTTCCCACAGTGTGACCTGTGATGGGGAAATGGGTCGCTGAGGCAGGCTGTCTGCTCTGGCACCTGTGCAGCCATGGAAAGTACAATGAATTGATGCAAGAAAAAGATTTTTTTTTTCCAAGAAGACCTTTAGTAGTTTAAGGCCAACCAAACTAAAATCCCAGAAAACAATTGCCCTTTCGTTTGGCTGATGGTTGATGAGAGGGTGTGGTTGGCCTCACAGCAGGTGAGGCAGAAGCCTTCTCCCACGTCCCCTGGTGTATGCTTCTCCTTCCTCTCGGTCTTCTCTTAGGTCTGGTTAATAACCCTGGGTACATTTTCGTGTCTCATGAAATAGGAGTGCCACCTGGCAAATAAGGCAACAGTTAAAGTGCCCCCAAAATGATTTTTGGAGCTAACGGTCATTCAGGTCATCCTGGGTGGATGATTGACGTGTCTGGGTAGCCCTGGGAGCTGCCCCTGCTCCTAACCAGGAGCTGAGCTCCACTTTGAAAGCCAGACGGTGAACTCCGAAGAGCCCAGCTGTCTGAGGCCGTGAGTCATGGTGGTCCCTCTGCAGTCTCCAAGGCCCGAGGGAAAGCAGCTAGAGAGGCTCAGGGGGCCTCCAGCACTGCGGCTCGCCTTGTCCGTGGGGCCCTGGAGAAGAACGTCTGCAAACCTCCGGCTCTTTCCCTCTCCCTCCCCTCCATCTCTCCCTCTCCCTCCCCTCCATCTCTCCCTCTCCTTCCCATTCTCTCCACACATGTCTCTGTCCTGCCCAGCGACTCCGCAGGGACTGTAGGTCGTGCCCCATCATGCAGTGCGCTCTCCAGCGGGACTCCTGCGGTGAGTCTGTGACACTGTGCTACAGCCAGCCTGTGAGTGCTCGAGGAGCGCTGGCTCCTGTGGGTGGGGAAAGGTGCACATGACTCTCCTGGGGACTCGGTGCCCGGGTTAGCGGGAAGGTCCCGTTCAGGTGCCAAGCACAGACTGCGCTGTGGGAAAATCACCTTATTGTATTGAACGTAAAAGGATCATCATGTTTTGCAGTCGGTAATGTTTTAGTGTGACTGATCAAACTCATCCTCGTTCTGAAAAAGAATTCAAAGTGGCTCAAAGGAAACGACAGAATACACACAAGGTCAACATGAAGAAATACTAAGAAAATTGGTAGTCAGAGCTGAGACTGGCGTCCACGTCCGTCACGGAGTGCCCGGGAAAGGAAGCGCCCTGCTTCCTCCGTTCCTCCTGGAGGGAGCCTGCCGCTGGCTCAGAGGAGACGGAAACCATTGGCACTAAGTGGCAAGAGAGGCACCCGTGGAGCCTCACTGTGCTGTCCTCCTCACACAGCAACCAGATGTGGCTGCAGCGGGGCACGTGGCTTCCCCATGGCTGGGTCCTCCATGGCATTACGGAAGAGCTGCACCGAGGTTCCTGGGCTGGTGAGGCTGCATGTCAGGGGCACCGTCTGCCTTCTTGATGTGCAGAGCTCAGTGTGACCAGATGAGCAGTCAACACTTGGCAACCACCCTCCTGGGCAGCCGTTTTCTCCCCAGGCACCTGGGCTGCTGGACAGGGCCCTCCCGTGTGCTGTGTTGCTGACCACACAAGCCCACTTGCTCGGTGAGCTGATTTGTTCCTCTCCTGTGAAGGGTGGTGCTCCTGCCCCTCTGCTGTGAAGCCCAGAACTCTCCCACACAGCAGTGGCCCCGGAAGGACCAAGGACAAAGTCGGCCCTCCCTTGGCACAGCAGACTTGGATGCACCTTAGTGTTTGATCAGAGCTCCTTTGAGTTCCTCAAGTTCCAAGCTGAGGACTTGGGATTCAAAGTTTTAACCTTGAAAACATTGAAAAGCCAGCTGCAGTGCCTTTTGGAGCATCTTGGCTTCCTGGCAACATGGCTGCCCAACATGGCTGCCTGGGCCATCTTCTCTAGCAGAACCCAGCCTCTGTACAGAGCTCAAGGGGCAGAGCTGTGTGTGAATGACTCATCACTGACCAGTTCCACTCTGGAGAAGCCTTCCTAAGGGGGCATTCAGGTTTTGTCTGACTGCTCTCAGCACACTTCCCAAGGGGGTATATGCATTCCTGATCCTGGTTTAAAACAACAAGTTACACTTCCTTGATCTTTGCTTACGGGATAGGAAGAGAACTTAAACACGGTGCCTTATCAGGAGAGCAGCCTCCCCGAGTGTGTAACCATGGGAAGAACCCCACGCCATTCCCTGAAAAAGGCACCCCGAAGGTAGGCTCCTCCCCTGCAAGCCATCAGACCGGCACCCCACAGGTTTTCATGACCTAAATTAAAGTTGCAGACCCGCCCACCATGTGCACAGCGCTGGGAAGGAAAGCCGAGGCGCACGGGAAGCCAGCCAGAGTGGCAAGAACACAACTGGCTTGTCCAGCATCCTTAAGGACCAGCCCTTGACCGATGCAGAGGCCTTCCAGCCACCAGACACATCTGCCCACCATCAGGTTGACCCCATTCTGTGGACTGCTCACAACTGAGCTCTGCTTACTTCACCAGGAACCCCCACCAAGTGGAGGATCCCAAATTCTAGATTTTGTGATCCTGGAAAGAGCAGGTGACAGGCCCTGTCTGTCTCTGGGTGGCCTCAGGTCTTCATGCATGGCCCTGGGTGATCCTAGGAAACTCCACATGGTCCTGACATTCCTTGCTGGTGCTTGATGATCTCGTGTGGCCCCGTGAGGTCCTAGGAAGCCCTGGATGATCATACATGAACCTGGGAGACTGAATGGTCAGGCCTGGCCTGGGTGATTGCAAATAGCCCCAGATGACCCTGCTTACCCTGGGTAGTCTCAGGGGAAGGTAGGGGTGCCTGTGGGTGGCCACAGATGGCCTTGGGTAAGTTTGGGTAACCTAATGGGCAAGGATGAGCACAGATGGCTGTGAGCCATCCTGTGACTATGGTGTCCCTGGTTCATCATGGATAGTGCTGGGTGCCCTTAGTGGTCCTTGGGCCTGGGTTGCTATGGATGGTCATGGAGGACCCCAATTATCCTCTGATGACACTGAGCATTCGTGGGTGACCTTTGATGGCCTAATTGGCATGGGCATCTCAAGATGGCCCAGGGTGATACTGTGGCCATAAGTGACGTAGATGATTTTGACAGTTTTATGTAGACAGAGTGGCCCCATATAACCCTGGGTTATGTTCTCTTGGATGACCCAGAGTAGCCCCCACATGACCCTAGATGAGCCTGAGTGGCTGTGATGGCAATGGATGGTCCCCACTTGCCCTGTGTGGCTGTGGGTGACCTTGATATGCCTAGGTGGCTCTGGATGATCTAGAGTGGCCCCAGATGCTGGGTGTCCTTAGCTAGCCCTAAGGGTCCCTGCAGGTACCAGGGTGGTCTCATACCCTGGGTGGCCCTTAGAGACACCCTGATGTCTCTGGCTAGAGGAGAGGGCCCTTCCCTAAAGTCACAGCCTGAGGCCTGGCCAGCCCCTCCATGAGCCTCCCTGTGTGTCACCTGGCACTGTGGAGGCCAGAGCCCTGCCAGCTCGAGGGGTGCCAGGGCCACTGCTGACGGCCCTATGTCGCCCGCCAGGCGTGGGCTTCACGGTCATCCTCATCTCGCTCTACGTGGGCTTCTTCTACAACGTCATCATCGCCTGGGCGCTGCACTACCTCTTCTCCTCCTTCTCCGCGGAGCTGCCCTGGGTGCACTGCAACAACTCCTGGAACAGCCCCAACTGCTCCGACGCCCGCACCGCCAACGCCAGCGCCAGCCTGGGCCCCAACGACACGTTCGGGACCACGCCCGCCGCCGAGTACTTTGAGTAAGTGGAAGTTCCACTCCTACAGGCCTGCAGAGTGGCCGGGTGGCAGGGCTGGCCCCCAGGGCAGCCCCGAGGGCACCCAAACCCTGCCGTGCTGCTCCCAAGGTGTGGAGGGGATCCTCTGTCCTGTCTGGAGCTGCCATTGACCTGCTTCTCCACTTCCTGGAGAATCCCACAGGGGTCCGGCAGCTCAGCAGCTCTGGTAGAAGAGCCCCTCACTATCCATCCCGCTCCCCCGTGGGGAAGGAGCCTCCCGGGTGCTGAGGGGAAGTGCGCTCGGCCTCTGTTCTGGCCGCCACTCTCTGCACGTTGGGACGGCCACGCTGGTGCGTGCAGGCTCCACTCTCCAGCAGAGGGGCTCCTGGGCAGTGCAGCCTGGCCCTTGGGGTCATCACGGGGGTGTGCACTAGCTGCAGCCCACTTTCGTGAACTTTTCTCTTTTTACAAACACAACTTTATTGCCTTCACTGGGTTCCTCCCCTGTCTAGAGGCCCCTTCCTCTGCTGCCCCAGCCCACCCCGTGCCCTGCAGGCTCCCCCTGGCCTTCTGTCTCCTCCTGCCATCCGCTTGCCAGGCCTGACCCTCTGCAGGCCATCTTCAGGCCAGCCCCTCTCCTGGAATCTGTTTTTCTCTGAGTCCTTCGATCCTGCACCCACTCCTTCGTCCCCTTCTCCATCACCAGGTGGCCTTGCCTGGAAGGGCTGTGACCTCTGCATAGGTCCACCCCTCCCCTGGACCCTCTGGAACCAGATGTGTGTGTGCATGAGAAAGCTCGCTGTGGGGAGCCACACTGGGCCACTGGTGGTCCTTCCCCGACCCTGTTTCCAGCAAGAGTTTTACCCTGGGCTGTGGTTGCACAGGATCTGCAGGACAGCTGGGTGGCCCTGGAGGATGCAGGGGGGCATGAGGCCTGGGTACAGTGACAGGTGCCGAGCCAGCACCTGTCCCAAGTTTCAGGTGGACGCCAGTGTACTTTGGAGTACATGGGAATGTTGCAGAGATGTCACCTCTCTGTCACCTCTTGGAAGGTGTGGGGTGTCTGTTCATCTGCGTGATTTTCAGATTAGAAGGTCAGGCAGAGAATTGAGTGATTTGTGATGAATGGAGGAAGGAATGTTCATGTTTCAGAAATCAGACTATCGGAGACAGATGGAGAGGCGATGGAGCTCTGTGTTCCAGGAAGGTCTGGCCACTGTCATTGGAGGCAGCTGGGCAGAGGCAGGGAGGGGAAGCAAGAGGACCCACAGCCCTGAGTGCTGAGGAGCCTCTCCTGGCACCGAGGTGCCCGCTGTGCCTCCTAAACGCTCCCGGGCTTCACTCCCCTGAAGCCTGAGGCCCAGCGACCTCCGTGCACAGGTCTGCAGGGGTCTGGAGTTCAGACCCCCTTTATAATGAGCTCACCGTGAAGGAGAAGCAGGCTCCTACAGGCTCCGTGTCAGGAGCCTAGGTCACACTGTACGGCAAAGAAAGGCCACGGTGGTGACAGTGATGAGTGTGCGTCCTGCAGGTGGGCACCCACCCGTAGCAGTCAGCCTCCCTGCGCTGTGTGAATTGCGCCTCTCCATGGATCTGAGGACTGAGGGTCAGTTAGCGCGGCAAGCAAGAAGCCTGAGCCCGGAAAGTGTGGCCTGCGTGGCTCCAGGCGTTTTTGAATGCCCCTCACTGCCATGGACACTTGCTAAGTCTGCCTTCACCCACTTTCTAACACAGAGTAGAAAGTCCTGAATTTAGAGCTATGAGTTTTCCTCTAAGGGACCAGTTTAACTACATCTTACAAAGTTGGAGATGTATTTTCATTTCCATTCAAGGGAAGGTATTTCTTAATCTCACTTATGATTTCGACTTTGACTAATGGAATATTCTTAGAAGTTGATTGTTTAACTTTGAAGTATTTGGAGGTTTCCTAGATGTTTCTGTTATCAATTTCTAATTTAATTTCATTTTGACAAAAATGACATAATTATAAAAGTTTAATCTTTTAAAATTTACTGAGGCTTGTTCACAGCCTGCTGTGTGGTGCATCTGGGGAATGCTCTGTATGTACCCTCTATTCTGGTAGCTTGATGGAAGATGCATCTAAAAAGAATGGGTTTTTAAACGCACGGTGGCCCGGCCATGCTGGTGCACGTCTAATCCCAGCACCCCAGGAGGCTGAGGCAGGAGGATCACGAGTTTAAGGTCACCTCAGCAACTGAGTGGTGTTTGGATCCTACAGAGCGAGGGTCCCAGGGGCTGGGTGTTCAAGGCCAGCCAGGCAACACAGTAAGACCCATCTCAAAAGAAAGAGCATGCTTTCTGCTGTCGGGGGCGTCAAGGGAACGGTCCGCTGGTTGGTGTCCTCGGTGCTGCTCAGTCGCTGTGTCTGCAGGGAGTTGCTGTCCCCTGCTGGCCAGGTCCTGGGAAGGGTGCCGGGACCCCCTGCAGTGGTGGGCTTGCCTTTCCTCTTCATGCTCTCTTGGCTGCACTGCATCCGGAGGCCCCGGGATGAAGGCAGGTGTGTGCGTGAGTGTCGGCCTTTGGTTTGACCCCCTGGCCATCATGCTTGCCCTTTGGGTCACCTCCTCCTGAAGCTGCTTTTCTGGCATGAATATGGCCACCCTGCCATCAGGAGTGGTGGCCATGTCGTGACCTGTTCCCGCTCTGGCATTTGACCTGTGTGTCCTTCACTCAGAGTGGGCTTCTGGTACACAGCATAGTCTCTTCCCGCTCGTGTCCAGTGTGACAGTCTGCCTGTGATTGTCATCTGTATGGTGGGGTTGAAGTCTCTCTCTCGCTATTTTTTCAGTTGGTGTCACCTCTCCTCTGGGGTTAATCAGCTCTGAGGCTTCCCCTCATCCGCACTGCGGGTGACCAGGCTCCAGCCCCTCGTGCCTCGTGGCCAGGTGACGTTCACGTCGCGTGGCTCCACGGCTCCGGACAGCCCCGCAGCCTGCTCCCTCCTCCCAGTCTGTGTGGCCATGTCAAGGTCCTCTCCACACTGTGCTGCCGACTGTCCTGGCTGGGATGTGCTCTAATGACGGCCCGGAGATCCTTCCCACCCTCCCGCCTGCCAGCACCTGGCCTCGTCTTTGTGGGGAGGCTCCTTCTGGCCCACTGCCCCCCACGTGAGGCACCCCCATGAGCACGGTGCCAGTGACTCGCTGGCCTCCTGAGCGTGCTCTTCCTTCTCGGGGGCTCCCAGGTTGCAACTGCACATGAATCCAGTGCTTTCCCGTTTACGCGCAGGTCTGTGGCGCACTGAGCGCGTTCACACAGTGGGAGACCATCGCCACCTCTCATCTCCACTGTGTTCGGCTTCCCAAACCTGAATTCTGTCCCCACTAAACTCAATTGGAGTCCCCCCAGGCCTGGCCCCCACATTACAGGTACCAGCTGATGACTCCAATGACCCCGGGGCGTCCCGCCCGTGGACCATGGGGGTCTTTTGCTCTGACCCACTCCTCTTAGGGTACACCTTCAGGGTCCACCCAGTGCCAGGGCTTGACTTCATTTTCAGCCCAGCTGGCTCTTGGTCTTGGTGACGTCCTGCAGCTGCCTGGACCCCTGGGCAGCTGGGGCTTTCCGGCTGCTGCGGACCCATGGGAATGTGGGTGCACGTGGAGTGTGAACCCTGCTTTCCGTCCCTTTGAGTGTGTGCCCAGACGCAATGCCAGCGTCCCGGGACAGCCTGAGCTTGACCTCGCAGTGCGGCCCTCACACCCCGGCAGTGCCCACGGTTCCCAGCTTCTCCATGCTGGACCACACCTCTTTTCTGCCTGTTTCTTGGCTCAGATGACCTCCATCCGTGTGGGCAGTGCAGCTTCTCATAGTCCGGGTTTGCGCGTCCCTAGTGACTGGTGCATTCAGTGTCTCCACGTGCCGGTTGGCAGTGGTGTACCTGTGGGGAGGAGCGCCAGCCGGAGTCCACCCTAGCGTGGAGGGCTGTGCTGTGCTGTTGGTCCTGGGAGTCCTTCCTTCTGGCTGCCACTCTGTTGCTCAGCGGGGAGTTGGGCGCGTCTTCCCCCTTCCACAGTCCCTGCTCCCTCGCTGATGGACTCCTCGGACGTACAGACGTCTTGACACCTGATGACGTCAGACTTGTCTAGGTTTCACGTGTGTCTAGGAATCCGCTGTCGAACCCCAGGCCGAGCCGACGTCCCCGTCTCCTCCCCGGAGAGTGCAGTGTCTGTGCCGACTCAGTCTTTTCCCACGGTGGACGTGGACCTCACTGGTCTCATCCTGGTTTCAGTTCACATTTCTTGTTCCTGTCCCTCCTTTCCTACAGATTCCTGCAGGTGGTCACCAGGACTTAGTGTCCAGGACTGGAGCCTGGCTGCACCCCACCCCCTCTCCTTGTTACCTTACACTCTGCCCTTTGGGGACAGGAGCCACATGGGGACCCTGATGGAGCCCAGAGCAGAGTCATCCCAAGTCCGTCCCTGAGGAGCCTCCTTGAAGCAGCCGGGCAGTGGGAGGGGTCAGGAGCCTGTTATTGCTCAGAGCTGCTCGGCCTTCAGGAAGCCTGGGGCCATCTCGGGCAGCAGCCTCCCTCTGGTTCCTGGGGTTCCCTCCCCACAGACCCAGGGAACCCGTTCCGTCCCCACTCCAGACAGCAGGGTGCCATGGGCAGGCGGTGAGGGCCGGGTGTCCAGAAGCCTTGGGGACGGGCTGGTGGGCTGGACCTTCCAGAGCAGGCTTTCTGGTTGGTCAGATCCCGTGCCTGGTCGGGTTCCCAGCCTCTCCCTGCGTGTGACTGCTGTGTCCCTGCTGAGCAGGGAGGGCAGGTCTCTGGCCAGCTGTCCAGGTCGGGGTGTGGTGGCTGCCCTCTGAGCCCCTGTGCCCCTCCAGGCGTGGCGTGCTGCATCTCCACGAGAGCCGTGGCATCGACGACCTGGGCCCTCCGCGGTGGCAGCTCACAGCCTGCCTGGTCCTGGTCATTGTCCTGCTCTACTTCAGCCTGTGGAAGGGGGTGAAGACCTCGGGGAAGGTGAGTGCTGGGCCCCGCCACCAGGTGTGGACACAGGATGGTGGTCAGGTCAGGGTGGATGCACAGCCATGGTCGGGACACATGCCATAGCTGAGTCAGCATGGACAAGTGTCTGTCCATGGGCAGAAGTGGACATGTGGCCCTGTGGGGTTGAGGAGATACTTGCTGTGTTTGGGGAAGGACACGGAGAGGGAATCACCCACAGCAGGTGGTTTCCAGAGTGAAGACAAGCACAGGGGGCGCTGGCGCGCACTCTCTCTCTCTCTCTCTCTCTCTCTCCTATGAAAGTGCTGTGGAGGGACGTGGGTACCCAGAGCAGTTTTAACACAGCGGTCACTGCACTTGTGGTAGGCACACTCAGCCCTCCGGGACAGCAGTCCTCTCACTCCCAAGCAAGGTCAGCTGGCGTGCCCCTCACCCATCGGGAGCCCAGCCACTCCTGCCCACTGCAAGAGGCCTGGAACACACACAGGACAGAGGCAAGCTGCGGTCCACTCAATGAGCTTCCCTGGGCTGCATTTGTGTGACGCGCAGGACACCAGGCGGCCCTCAGAGGCCACCTCCTAGCACTCACCACTTAGGTGACCCTGTGCTGCTCTCCTGCCAGCACCTGATGTACCAGGGCCCCCTCCCAGTGGCCTGGGCAGTCCAGTGTCACCTGCTCTCTGCAGGTTGTGTGGATCACAGCCACCATGCCTTACGTGGTCCTCACCGCCCTGCTCCTGCGCGGTATCACCCTCCCTGGGGCCCTGGACGGCATCAGAGCCTACCTGAGCGTGGACTTCTACCGGCTCTGCGAGGCATCTGTGAGTAACCCCCGGTGGACCCCAGACCTCGAGGGCTGGCAGGGCCCAGGCCATGAGCACCTACGTTCTGGCCCGGGAGTCCCACAAGCACTGGGCAGGAACTTCTCTGTCCAGCAGGTGCAGGCCGGCTGGCACCTGCACTGTCAGGCCAGGTGAGGGGCCTGTGCAGAGCAGGGAGCCTGAGCAGGTGCAGGGGGAGGACCCTGGGGGGCAGTCCTCTGCTGGCTGCTGCCAGGCACCACACCCCAGGGCTGCCCCGCTCTCCTCCCCTTTGCCACCTGCTGCCAGAGGGTGCCCTGGAGTTCTAGAAAACACCGTGCGGCTCAGCCGGCTGCTGCGGTTCCCCGTCCACCAACCCGCAGCGCTGCCTGCGCCGGGGTCTCCTGGGCCTGAGCACAATAAGAGGGTGACCTCAATCTGGTCCCGGGGGAAACCAGATCTAGTCAGCCGCACAGAGGGAGAGAGCCTGTGGGTTAAAGCATGTGGATGGAGCGGCCTCAGAGAGGCCAGGTCTGGCCAGGCCCTGCGGGGTGGGTCCCCGAGGGAGGGAGAAGGGACAGTGCTGTTTGGGCAAAGAGGAATGCAGTGGCCAGTGGCAGGGGCTCCTGGGCACGGGTGGTGGAGAGAGCAGCTCTGTGGGGATGTCAGATTCAGGTGGACAAGGCGGGATGGCGGGGCGGAGGCCATCCAGGGGTGCTGTCACTGTGGGAAGGGGCAGCAGCAGGGGACGGCGGGGGCAGGAGGCCTCCGCAGGTGTGGCCCTAGGCAGGTAAGGCCAGGAGTCAGTTCCAGGTGCACAGGGAAGCAGAAAGACCAAAGCTGCCGCAGAAACAGGAGGAGGAGAGGAGGGCGGGCAGGAGGAGGAGAGGAGAGCTCCTCTGCCAGGGGCAGGAGGCGGTGAGGCAAGCCCAGCTGAAGGTGGAGGCCAGGCCTGAGGACAGTGGACGCCTGGGGCAGTGGTGGCCTCAGGGCACAGGAGACCTGAGAGCTGCAGAGGCCTGAGGGCAGTGGACAGGAGCACCCTGGGGGCTGGGGCATGGAGGAGCCGGCAAAGGGGACTGTGGTGTGGACCAGGCCAGGCGAGATGCAGCCGTCAGCAGCAGGGCAGAGGGCACGGTGGGCAGCAGTGCAGGGTGGGCCAGCAAGGGGGGGTGGGCAGTAGGGCAGGGTGGCCAGAGGGCAGGGGGGGTAACAGGGCAGGGTGGCCAGCAGGGCAGGGTGGGCAGCCGGGCAGGGGATGCCTGCGGGAGGTATGTTCCAGAATCCAGGGCAAAGCAGGGGCCACCTAGAGCACAGGGCTTCAGCAGGAGCAGGCAGCCTGCAAGAGGGCAGCCGGTGCACGTGTGGGAGGCACTCCGCAGAGGAGAGCGGGGCCCAGACGTGAGGGCGTGGAAACCAGGGGACAGAAGGAACAGGTGGGCAGTCGGACGGTGGCTGGAGGCTGGGCAGGAGGCCGACGTGGGTAGGAGACTGAGGCAGGCGGTGGACGATGGCTGCGCAGACGGGTGGGCACGCAGCGGGGAAGAGGCCGGGGAGCGCAGGACTGAGGGCCCGGGCCCGGTGCTGGCCCAGGCTGGGGTGACATCAGTTGGGCAAGGGCCAAGGGCTATGCAGGAGGCAGGACTCGTCAGTGCTGCCCCCGCTGCCCACAGCCACCTGAGCAGGGGTGGCATGATCACTGGCACGGGGGCCACAGGACAGCAGAGCAGGGACCCCCTTGCCCGCTGCCCGCCTGACCATGCTGGGCCACCTCTTCAGCCCTGACGATCAGCTGGCCAGCTGCCCTCTAACACAGGTCCCCAACGTGGTGGCCCTGGGGATCTTGACATTCTGTCCAAAGGACGGAGGCACCTGGTGCCCTGCAGCCCGAGGCTCCGGCCTCCTCTGCGTCCAGCTCGCCTCCCCCAAACAGGGGAGCCGCCTGGGACACTGGAGGCCTCCAGCCCTCCCTCCCACCCCACAACCCGAGGGAGCTCCTGCTGTCATTCCTTAGGTTCAGCCCCAGACGCCTCAGGTAGCGGCCTCTGCCCAAACCCTCGGGGCTTCTCCTCAGCCTCCCACGGGCTGTGCAGGAGTCGGGCAGCCCTGGGCTCTGATGGCCTTTGCAGGCCCTGACGTGAACAGTCATGTACCACAGGCAGCTACTGACCTGCATACTTTCCTTTCACATTCAGGAAGTGGGCCAGCCACCTGCTGGACACCAACATCGGGCCTCAGGTGGCCCCCAGCTCCTGGGCACCACTCATGCTGGCTGCACTGCTGGGTTTGGGGTGCTGGGAAAGACACAAAGCACGAGTTAGCAGGTCAGGGGGACCATGCCGAGCGGCGGGGCCACGCGGAGTGTCAGGGGCCACGCAGAGCATCAGGGGGACCATGCCGAGCGGCGGGGCCACGCGGAGTGTCGGGGGCCATGCGGAGCGTCGGCTCACTGGTGCTTTAACACGCAAAGCAGCTTCAGTGGGAAGGGACCAGATGCCCCTGGTCGTGTGGAACAGCTGTGTGGACGCTCCAAGGGGATCTCAGACATAGGCAGACCACGCAGACCTGCCCCCTTTCTCTCAGGCCAGTGGTGCAGGAGGGTCACTCCCTTGGTGTCATTTGCCACCGCCAAGCACCCTGCTAATGCCATTTGCTTCCTACAGGGTGGGAGGAGGGAGGCTCGCCGCTCCTTGGGGTCCGAGGCTTTCAGCTGCAGAGGTCCCCGAGGTGGGTGGGCGAGGAACGCCCTCCTGCGTTGCCTCTAGCAGCGGTCTCACTCCTCCCGGCAGGTTTGGATAGATGCTGCCACCCAGGTGTGCTTCTCCCTGGGTGTTGGGTTCGGGGTGCTCATCGCCTTCTCCAGCTACAACAAGTTCACCAACAATTGCTACAGGTAAGTCCTGAGCTGCAGCGGCCCTGAGAGGTCTCTGAGAGCTAGTCGGCATCACTGCTGGCGGGTGGCCGGGAGAGGGACGCTGACGTGGGGAAACGAGGGTCCCTGGAAGCTCAACCCTGCTTGCACAACCTCTGACCACACAGATTTTTAAATGGAAAATAAGGTGGGCACTCAGTGAGATCTTAATTCTCACTTCGAGGAAGGTATTGAAACCCATGGGTTTGGGGTCTTGGTCCGTAGGAATGCGTGCCCCCTCCTGGGGAGGACCTTCCTGGAGGGGACACAGCGGGGCAGCACAGCCAGCCCTCTGCAGACATGCTCTCCTCCTGCCACCTCCTCCCCAGGCCAGCGCAGCAGTCTCTGTCCCCTTGCTCAGGGTCCAACCTCACCAAGACACCTACCCCAAGGAGCCACCTCAGTGTGCCCCTCAGGCCTGCACTGAGGGAGCCTGGACCCCAGGATGGCATGCCAGACCCTGAGGAGACTCGGCTGGTCCACCAGCTCAGGAGGGCGCGGGCCACCTGCAGCCTCATGCCAAACCCAAATCCTCCCAAAGCAAACAGAATCGAGTCTGAGTCCTGCTTCCTCCCACCCTCAGAGCCTGGTTCACTTTCTTTCACATCATGAAGATTAAATTGCACAAAGTTCAGACTGAGTGCAGCGAAACGGCCAGTCAGACCATGCAGGAGGCCCCCAGCTAGCCCCAGCCCAGAGTCCACCCCGTGTCAACCGGGTCCAGGCACTCTGCGGGTGAAATGCACTCCTCTGCGGCAGGCTGGCCACATGGACCCAGGAGGAGAGCGCTGGCCGCCTGAGGGCCCTGGCCCCTCCTGGCTTGCCTCTGGCCCTCCAGTGAGGACCTCAGACTGGCAGCACCAGCGTCCCCATGTGTGCCTGCACACACAGCGGCCACTGGGCCACCGCTCAGGATCTGCATTTCAGTGATGTCACAGGGGTGTGCACACCTCTGGTCCTAGAAGCCCTGCTTGGCAGCCCCCTGGCAAAGGGGGGCAGTCACCACCCTGGGCCAGCAGAATACAGGCTGTTTCACCCACCCTGAGGCAGGAGGTCCAGGGTGGCCACAGGTCAGGCCCTGCCGGGCTGCAGAAGGGCTGCCGAGCTCATCTGGAGAAGCAGCCCCTCCAGAGCTCCTGCCCCCCAGACACAGGAAATGGAGAGTAATGACTGGGAAATCACAGGGCCGCAGCTCGGCTGGCACCAGCGGCCTGCCTTGTCCTTGCAGAGACGCGATCGTCACCACCTCCATCAACTCTCTGACCAGCTTCTCCTCCGGGTTCGTCGTCTTCTCCTTCCTGGGATACATGGCACAGAAGCACAACGTGCCCATTGGGGACGTGGCCAAGGACGGTGAGCCCAGCCCCGCCCCACCTTCCCCACTCCCCAAGATGAAAAGGGACCAGGCGGGGCCTGAGCCTCCGTCCATGAGTGTCTGCCTTGAACAAGGGCAACCCAACAGTGCCCGCCCCCAGCAGCCTGCTGTCAGAAGCAGCGTCAGCCCCCAGCCCTCTGCAGCCCCCTGCCCTCTGCAGCCCCCCGCCCCCCCCCGCCCTCTGCAGACCCCAGCCCTCTGTAGTCCCCCACCCTCTGCAGCCCTCTGCACCAGGCCAACACGGCCAACAGAGCCACAAGTCCCCAAAGCACCTCACACCTCTGTCCCTCAACACATGCTTCCTGCAGACACCCTGAGTCCTTTGGCAAGGTCTGAGGAGGACATTGTCCCTCAGGGCCTGTACCCTGATGGAGGTACCTACAGCTCCAGGGAGGGGGACTGAACTGCTGCAGTTGCATGTGACACAGGTCTAAGCAGTGCTGGCCTTGCCACAACCAAGCTGGCTTGTTCTTGATGTCAGCAATTAATCTGTTTCTGACCAAGATCCAGAGATCATGACGTACGTAGATAGGATTTAGGTCACAGAGAAATCCCCAAAGTCCCTGGCATGTGGACTCTCACTCATACAGCCTGCTTTCAGATTCCAAATGTCTTTCCACACCTGTGTCTTATAGCTGAGAAAGTGGGAGGGCTGTAGCACTGTGTGTTTGAGTGGCATGGTGTCTTAGTCTGTTTTCTATTGCTGTAATGAAATACCTGAGATTGGAACTTTATAAAGCAAAGAGGTTTAGCTGGGCATGGTGGTGCATGCCTGTAATCCCAGTGGCTCGGGAGGCTGAGGTAGGAGGATCTCAAGTTCAAAGCCAGCCTCAGCAAAAGCAAGGATTTTGCTTCCTGCTGACCCTGTCTCTAAATAAAATACAAAATAGGGCTGGGGATATGACTCAATGGTTAAGTGCCCCTGTGCTCAATCCCCAGTACCCACCACCAAAACCAAGAAAAGAGGCTTGCTTAGCTCACAGAGTCCAAGAGCTGAAAGTGACATCTACTTTGCCTGTGGAGCTGGCACCAGCTCCTCTCTGGTGAGGGCCTCAGGCAGATGGCATCCATGCAGTGGAAGGGACAGGGCTGTGTGCAGATAGGCCGTGATAACCACTGCACCCAGATGGACCTGCCCCACCTCAACAGTGCCATCACCAGCTGACCTCCTCCTGGGGCCCAGAGTTGGAGGAAGGGCCACCTTGCCTGTGCCCTGAGCACTGGCCACAGCCAGCCTTGGTTACCCACTTGGTCCCCAGAGGCCACGCAGTAGGACCCTCGCTTTGCAGGTAGAATCTGGGCAGGTCCTGAGAAGGCTGCCCCCCCGCACAGCGGGTGATGCTGGCACGGGCAGGAGAGGAGCCCCGGGAGTGGCTCTGCCATTGCCTTCGCCGCCGTCACCCGTCCCCCTGCCCTTGGTGTGGCCCCAGTTCTCAGGACCCCAGGGCACAGTGCCAACTCAGGCAGAGACCACAGGTGGGCTCGCTGTCCTTGCCTTCCGCCAGGCCACAGCCTTCCCGGGTCTCAGCTGACAGGGCATCCTGAGAGCTGCAGGGCGCCCAGGTCCAGCCGTGCTTGACGGCAGATCCCGGTGACCCTGTGGGTGTGGTTCTTTAAGACAGTGAGTGCTAGTTCCTCCTGTGGGCCAGACACGCAGAAGACGGGGGTCGCAGGAGTTAGAGACTTGGGGTCGGCAGGAGACGTGAAGGTGCCCATCCACAGTGAGCTGGAACTGAGGCTGTCCGCCACATGGGGTGGGATCATCCAGGACCCTCTGGGATGGAGCTGTGTGGGGCTGTGCTGGAGGCCTGCCACTCCCCAGCCCGCTCCCCTGCCGTCCTCTCTGCTGCTGCTTCTGCGAATGTCCCCAGTGAGCCCTGCAGGGGGCCACCCTGGGGCCTTCGCAGGCACCTCCCCTGGGCCCTGCAAGGCCTCATCCTGTTGGGACAGCATGCCCCGGCTTTGCAGCTGATCTTAGGATCCTGGGTGTGCACCGTGACCAGGCCTCGGGCCCAGCAGCAGTGTTGCTTGGTCACTGCAGGCGTCCCCTGGGCTGAGTCTCTGCCTCCCGAGCCTCCAGGGCCTGCTGGGGGTGCCTGCATCTGTGTGGTCTTCCAGGGCCCCTGCTGCAGGGTGGTGGGGAGGTCAGCCACACGCTCATCCACAAGGTGCCCTCTTGGAAGTGACATCACCATGTCCGTTGGCGTTGAGTTGGCCGGAGTGAGCGTGGACAGTTGGGAAGCAGGTGTCAGCAGCATGCTTGTGACGTCCTTCTCACTTTACAGCCAGGCCACCAATAGTGTGAACATGGGTGTGCCTCTGTGTGCGCAGTGTTCATGCACATGTTGTGGCACACGCGTGTCATGTTTGTGCATTGTCATGAGTGTCCACCTGCATGTTTGGGAGTGTGCCTGTGTGTGGGCACGTGTGCTTGTGTGTGCCTGCACTGGAAAGACCTCAGGGCTGCCCACGACCCTTCCGCCCTCGCTTCTGTTCCTGCCTTAACTGCTTCCCCTGCGCCCCAAAGCCCGGGCGCACACCAATGAGTGGGGACTCGGGTGGCCATGGGGGACAAGCACAAGCCCCTAATGGGTTCTGGGTGTGCGTATTCTGGGGTCTGGGCCAGGTGTGTGCTGAGTTCACAGGACGGAGGACCCTCAAGGAGAACGGCCGGAAAACCTCCCACCCGTCAGCCCCCGGGCCCCCGACAGGGCGGAGCCGGCCTTCAGGGTGGGTGAGTGAGAGAGCCAAGCCCTGCAGTGACCAGAGCGGGTTTCCGTTGCAGGGCCGGGGCTGATTTTCATCATCTACCCTGAGGCAATCGCAACACTGCCCCTGTCCTCCGCCTGGGCGGTGGTCTTCTTTGCCATGCTGCTCACCCTGGGGATCGACAGTGCCGTGAGTCCGGTGGGCCCTGGCTGCCGTGCCCAGCCCCCTGGGGCCCTCAGCACCATGCTCGGCGTGTTCCTGGGGTGATGCCCTGGCATGGCCAGGCAGAGACCCAGAGACCCATGGATGGTCCCCTGAACCTCCCTGCTCAGCACAGAGCCTACTCAAGGGACGCAGGCCCAGTCATTCTAGACCCTCTCCGGAGGGAGCTGAGTGGTTCCTGGAGCTCAGCTTACCCTTCCTCTTCCCCCTTGGGCCTTCAGTGTGTCCACCCTGGGCCCCCCAGAGTCTGCACACACATGCAGCAGGCCCCAGCCACCAGAGGCCTGGCTCAGAAAGCATGACCAGCCGTAGGGCATGCACGGCGGGCAGTGGAGGCTGCCTGCCCGGGCCCTCGCGGGGCCTGGGCTGGCAGCACCTTCTCAGGGTCCTTCTGCCCCATGAGCTGAGCCTCGGGGGTCACAGGGTTGGCGGGAGGGGGCAGTGGCCCTTGCATTTGCCCATCCTGATGGGCCCAAGATATGCTTGCTGGAAAGCGTGGACCAGGAATCCCTTTCCCAAGCAGTGAGGGCCACCGGCCACAGCCCACCCTCACCCCCCACCCAGCTCGGTCACAGCCCTGGGGACCCCGGGCCTCTGTGTTCCTGCACTCAGATGGAGGATGCTGACAGGACACAGGTCTCTGAGCAGCCTGGACAGCCCAGCAGCACCCAGCTGCCCTCGCAGCAGAGCCTGGCCTGCAAGGTCCCGAGTGGTATTCAACATATGTCTGAGCCAATGCCGGGGGTGGCTGTGGTCACCCTCCAGGCCGCCCTCTGAGGGCCATGTCACCAAGGAAGTGTCCCTCACGGAAGCCCTTTCTTCATACAGCTCTGAGCTATTGTGCAGGCCCCTCCCCCATGTCCCTCCCGGGTCGCACCCCCCACGACAGGACTGTCTCTGCCGGGTAGTGCCAGTGCCCTGCTTGTGTCCTGCAGATGGGTGGCATGGAGTCCGTGATCACGGGGCTGGTTGACGAGTTCCCGCTGCTGCACCGGCACCGGGAGCTCTTCACGCTCGGCATCGTGCTGGCCACCTTCCTGCTCTCGCTCTTCTGCGTCACCAACGTACGCACGGGTCTTGCTCTCCCTGGCGTGGGCAGGTGGTTGGTGCCATCGGGCTGGGCAGGCCAGCTGCATCTCTCAGAAGCTGCAAGTCCCCAAACACAATTCCCCGTAGCCCCACACAGGACAGCTGCCTGTTCGGAGTGTGGTCCCAGAGTGACGCCACCACCCAGGGAGCTCCGGGAAGCACCCTCAGTGGAACGTGGGGACGTGGGGGACTGGGTGGGCAAGGGGAGGAGGTGGCAGAGGAATCCTGAGCGTGGCACTTGCCTGTTTCTCCTGGAGTCCTGGGAAGGGGACCTAGTGTCAAGCTTTTCGTGATAGCTGCATGTGCTGGAGTTGAGTACTCTGGGCTCCGCGGGAGTAGACAGGACACATCTGCAGAGTGGACCCGCAGGCCAGTCCTGTGAGGGAGGCCCCACAGCAGGGATTCCCTCTGCTGGGGACCAAGTCCAGCCGGGCCCCCTCTCTTCCAGGGGGGCATCTACGTCTTCACACTGCTGGACCACTTCGCAGCCGGCACGTCCATCCTCTTTGGAGTGCTCATTGAAGTCATCGGAGTGGCCTGGTTCTACGGTAAGCCCAGAGTCACACTGCTGTGCTTTCTCTGTGGCCACCAGGCCGGCTTCCTCTTGCTTTCTGTGGGACCCATAGTCTGCAAGGCCACCAGGTGGTCTGGGCAGGGCAGGGGTCCTGGACACCTCCACGGAAGGCTGAGTGCAGCCAGAGCCTGGGGTCTGCAGGGTGGAAGCCCTGAGCATAAAAGGAACTGGCATGTGTTCAGTGTCATGGGAACATGGCTGTCCTGACCCTGTGGTCGCCACGTCCCCACCTCAGGTGTCCAGCAGTTCAGTGAGGACATCAAGCAGATGACGGGGCAGCGGCCCAGCCTGTACTGGCGTCTGTGTTGGAAGCTGGTCAGCCCTTGCTTCCTTCTGGTAAGTGCCACAGCTGCCCATCACTCCGTCTCAGCCCCAGCTGGCCTGTGCCCAGGGTCTGGAGCCCGGGGCACTGTGGCTGGAGCTGGGGTCTCAGAACTCAGCAGAGGAGGCAGGTGGGTCCCCCACATCCTCTCTGGCCTCCCGAGGCATCTTCCACCTCGGCCTCTGGACAGGAACTCATGCGGGATTGCAGGACCCTTGGGCTACTCAGGTCCCAGCGAGTCCTGGCCTTGAGCTGTCCCTCTGTGTCGGAGGAAACCTAGAGACCAGCCAGGCCGTCTGCTGCGAGTCAGAGACAGAACTAGCCTTCCAGGGCCGAGGGTGGGGGCCCATCAGACCCGGGGTCCCCACGGTCAGGAGTGACCTAGACCCTCCACTGTTCCCAGGGCCCCTCAGCCTGGGGACCATTAATGTGGCCAGTAAGCCCCTGGCTTAAAGCAGGGACAGGGAACCGACTGGGCCCAACTAGCAAAGTCCCCCAGCCACCTGTTTTTGTAGAGTTGCACCCAAACTTGGCAGCAGCCGGTGGCCTCAGGGTGGACCCTGGCAACCTCATCCTGCTACAGCACAGAACAGGAGGCCTGTCAAAGCCAGAGCCCTGGCCAGTGCAGACGCTGGCTGTGTAGGGCTGCAGGTTGGAGCAGATCCTGAGCTGTCACAGGCGGGCACACCTGCCGGAGTCCCCAGCCACCTGGACAGCCCTGGAGGAGAGCCGCAGCCAGACACCCTCAGAGCAGCCTGGGCCTCTCCCAAGGGCCAGCAGGGGCCCTGGGAGGTGAAGAGACTCACCAGCAGCTGGACGGTTCCAGCAAGTTCACGTGCGGAGGTCTGAGAACCTGAGCTGACAGCAGCACCTGGGGTGTAGGCGAGAAGTGGTGAGTGCTCTCCTGGAGGGCTCGATGCGACGCCCGAGGCCCAGCAGGCTGCCTGAGGAATTGCAATGGCTCCACGCCCACCTGTGGCTCTGTGGGCGAGCTCCCCCAGCCCGGCTTGAAGCCCTCGGCATCCCGGGAGAGTGCTTCCACCTGCTGGGGACCCCACGTGGAGCTCAGGAGCTGCCCCGAGGACACCGTGCCATCATCTTCTTGTCTGCCCCTCTCAGCACTCATACCACCAAGAGCCGACCCAGGTCTTGGGAGACCAGCACCTACAGACACCTGACTGCATCTCGGAACCTCTTACTCAACACTCTTCGTACTGTTCTGCCAGCTTGGTGGGGACATGAGGACTCTGGGTCAGAGCCCTTCCTATGAAATTTGCATGTGACAGAAAACCAAGCTCCACACTGTCCTGTCTCCCTGAGTCACAGCATGGCCCTGTCCTCCGGCCTCAGGGAGCTGGTGCACTGTGGGTGGGCACAGTCCGCAGGGCACTAACACGCTCCCAGAGGGTATACCAGCTCACAGTCGGTGCCTGTGGGAGTGCGGCCTTTCCAAGCCACGCAGACCCGCAGGCAGCCGCAACGCTTATCTGGTGCTCCAGCCTTCGTGAGCGGCCCGTGGGCTTCCCACGCCTTGCTCAACACCAGCCTGAATCCCAGCCCCACCCTCCGTCTTTTGGCTCCAAGCCTTGAGGTAATAGGCAACACTGAAGAGGACATTGAGACACAGACAGGTGTCAAATGTGCTCGGCAAGGTGGCTGTGTGGGCACTTAACTGGGGACCCTGAGAAGAGCTAAGAGTTTGCTTTCCAAGCTGCATCCTAAACTGTGTCCCCGAGGATTCCTGCAGTCCCTCTAGAAGGCCCCTCGCCAGGTACACACACTCCATTGTGCACGTGTGGGCACAGCACACACTCGGGGGCACGTGTGGGCTGCAGTGCACGTGTGGGTGTGTGGCCCACGTGCAGGGCGTGTTCCTGATAACGCCCTGTGGAGGGGAAGAATGAGCAACAGCATGAAAAGACCCCCACAGCAATGAGACCCCATCCCCACCAATCAAGAGACCTCCGACATGGGACCTGTTCCTGTCAGCGGCTGCCACACGCCCTCCGTTCGCAGCTGTGGCCATCATAGTGTGTCTGAGATGATGCCAGTTGCCAGATCCCTCTCAAAAGTGGGTGAAGAGGCCACGCCCAGGCTGCCCGGGGTGCCACAGAGCCACAGTGTCTTCCAGCCTCAGAGGGGATTCAGTGTGTTGGAGGGAGCTGGTGTGGCTTTGGTTTCAGCAGAGGAGAGGGTAGGTAGGATGGGTGGGGTAGACGGAGCAGGGTAGGGAAGGGTACAGTAGGTGGAGGTGGGTGGTAGGTGGGTAGGGCAGGGCAAGGAGGGTAGGCAGAGAAGGAAGGCGGGGAGGGAGGGTGGGGCACAGTCAGGTGAGCAGGGCAGGAAAGAGTAGGGGAATTGACAGAGCAGCCTGGGGCAGGGCAGGAGAGCGCAGAACGGAGCAGGACATGCCGCTGTTCTGGTCAGCTTTGTGTCGCTGTGACCAAAGACCCGACAGGAACTCAGGAGAGGAGAAGTTTATTTAAAAGGCACGTGTTTCTGAGGCTCAGTCATGGTGGGCTGACTCCACTGCTCTTGGCCCGAGGAGAGGCAGAGCATGACGGAAGGGCGTGCAGGAGGACAGCGGCCCAGGACACAGCACCAGGACAGAGAGGCTCTGCTTCAGCAACCCCAGAGGCACAGCCCCAGGACCCCCCCCTCCAGCCGCACCCCACCTGCCCACGTGGCCACCCATCCCTATCAGCAGATCAACCACCAATTAGAGCTGAGCTCTCCTAACCCAGTCACTTCACTGTGACACTCTTGCGTGACCTGGCACGGGAGCTTTGGAGGGACACCTCATATCCAAACCAATACACTCCAAAGGACCTTGCTTTAGCTGTCCAGCCCCCCCGCTCCCCCCGCAGGTTGCTTGTCCGCAGGGCCTGGCCAGGGTCCAGCATGTGCGGTGGGGCAACCCTGGGGGTTGCCACTCTGCCTCACCCCCACCCCCAGCACTCCTGACCCCTGTGTCCTTGTTGCAGTTTGTGGTTGTGGTCAGCATCGTGACCTTCAGGCCACCCCACTACGGAGCCTACGTCTTCCCTGCCTGGGCCAATGCCCTGGGCTGGGTCATTGCCACGTCCTCCATGGCCATGGTGCCCCTGTACGCAGCCTACAAGTTCTGCAGCCTGCCAGGGTCCTTCCGAGAGGTGGGTGTGCGCCCGGCCCCTCCCGCCTCACCCGGCTACCCAGGAGGTCTGGGCAGTGTCCACGCCCTGGCTCAGCCCCGACCAGGGGAGATGGGGAGGCTGAGGGGTGGGGCCAGTGCAGCAGGGAGTATGAGTCCAGGAGCCCGTGCAGTGTCCACGTGTGTGTCTAGGTCACCTCACATTTGTGTCTTGTCAACGACCGTATGTGTGCATGTGTCCACCTGTGCGTCCGTGTGTCTGTGTGTATGGACACCTGCACACTGCCGTGGGGAAAGGGTGACCTGTGTCCCTCCAGGGTGGCCAGGTGAGGCCCCTGATGCAGCAACGGGCAGCTCTGGGCCCCCACCCAGAATGCTCCTCCTCTCCAGGTCTCGGAGGCCATGTCAGACTCCTGCCCTGAGTTCCTGAAGGGATGAGGGACGTCCTCCTTGGAAGGACTGTCCTCCCTGAGAGCCCCCGGGTGGTCCCCAGCTCTGCTCTGTGCCCGAGTTCTGCAGGCCTGCTTAGGAGCAGTGCCTTGGGAGAGCCCATCCGTGTACCCGGGTCCAAGGGTTCACTCTAGAGCCAGCGTCCCTTGGTCTGAGGCACCACAGAGGGCCCCTTGCCTCACAGGCTGCCCTTGGCCCAGTTCCCCTGTCCTCAGGCCAGCCAGGGCCTGGAATGGGTCCAGTGCAGCCTGTGACAGGGCCATAGCTCCTGGGGCTGCCGTGGCCTCAGAGGAAGCTGGTGTTGTCTGCTGTGGACGCTTGCTGACCTCCAACCTGCTGTAAAGCAGGCGCCGGGCAGTTCCTGGAGGGAGACGGGTTCCCCAGGGCCCAGGACCATGGGCAGTCGGTGCGGAGCCCACGGGGGAGAGGTTTGCATGCAGTGGGCCCCAGCGGCCATTCTGGTGCCAGCTCCCACCTCCCAGCTCCCACACAGACCAAGAGGGACCTCAGTAGCTGGACTGGTGCCACCAGATTGTGCCCCCACATGGGCCAGGCACCCAAGGCCCCTGGTAGGGACAGGGACTCAGGGACAGTCCTGGTGAAGCCTGTTCTCGAGGCTGGAGGGACGAGGCTCAGCGCTGAATGAGAGAAGCAGGGGCTCCCAGCAGACACTGTGGAGCCGCCACACCTGGGCTGAGGGACAGGGCCCTGAGCCACAGCCTGGGCTGCAAGTTGGGCCTGGACGCTGGCAGATGCCCCACCAGGACATGCTGGCTGTGGGCTCCTGCATCTGCCCACATGTCCCCTGAGGGGTGTTGGTGCCCTCTGGCCGGTGGGGGCCTGCGGGTACCAATGCCAACAGCTCATTCTCCCTCAGAAACTGGCCTATGCTATCACGCCTGAGAAGGACCGCCCGCTGGTGGACCGAGGGGAGGTGCGCCAGTTCACGGTGAGTCGGCAGGGCTTCAGACGATGGAGGAGCAGTGTCCTCGTCCCACAGCTGCTCCTGGGGCCCCAGAGGGCTGCATGAAGCAGCACACGCTTGGGTGCACCCCGTGCCACAGGGCCAGGGGCCACCTGAGGTCTTGGGCTGAGGACGGGGCAGCTGAGAGCAGCAGAATCAGTGGAGATGACGGAACAGGTGACCGCTGACGGACACCCATATGAAGGGCGGGGCCCACGGGGGGCTGAGCCTGCCTCCCTGGGCGTGGTGAGGCAGAGGAGACAGAGGGTCCTGGAAGCTTTGGGGGCAGAGAGGGGACAGGACGGGGGAAGCGGCTCTTGCAGGTCTAGAGTGGGTCAGGTGTCCACCAAGGCCCTGGCAGGCCCTGACAGCACTGTCTCCCTCACTGGGGAGCTCAGGGTGCACGTGGGCACGCCACACTCCTGTCACATGCCATGGGGGGCCGGGGTGCACGTGGGCACGCCACACTCTGTCACATGCCATGGGGGGCAGGGGTGCACGTGGGCACGCCACACTCTGTCACATGCCGTGGGGAGGCCTGGGTGCATGTGGGCAT